GCAATTTGTATACGGGGTAAAAGCGGGAGTTCATAATCCACTTGAATCAAACCATGTAATATGATGTATTAAGAACTATGTAATGTTATGAACGACCAATAAAAAAAAAAAAAAAAATTCCTCCTGCTCTAGAAAGCCAGGTGACAACCCTTCCTCTAAACACCCATTGTTTTTACCACAAGCATGTGACTATAAGTCATCTTATGTGACCCATCTAAACAAAGGAAGTTCCATGAGAGCAAGGACCATGTCTCCTAAGTGGAGGTGCTCACCACCTACATTACTCTTAGTCCAGGGCAGGTGTCACAAGGCCTTGCCCTTTCTGCTGTCTCCCCAGGTGGTGCTTCCATCCACATGGCCCTTGCTCTTTCTCCTGTGCAGCCCCTAACTCCTGCCTCTCTCTTCTGCCCACACTCTCAAGGCAGACATGCCTGTGTAGCTTACCTGGGGGATGTGCAGAGCCTCCCTGTAAAACACCTGGATGTCCCAGTAGCTGAAGAGGTTGCAAACTGAGCGAAGCAACTGGAACAGCCAGAAGCCAGCAGCCAGGACCAGGAGGAAGACCAGCAGGGGGCTGGCACGAATCCTGTATGGGGTTGGACAGGTAGTGGTGGCGAAACACGTGAAGCCCAGAGAGGAGACCGTCATCTGGAGCAGTGGCAACACCAGCAGGTCTCAAAGTGGGGTCCAGGGAGGCGGATCCCCAAAGGGGCCCTTACAAGTGTCTGCAAAATCAACACTTCTTTGCAAATCACACCAATGCTTTCTGCTCTTTGAATTCTCATTCTCCCGCTAGTGTGCAATGGAGTTTTCCAGAAACCACAAGAAATTTCACATCACACTGACAGCCTGGGGAGTGTGTGCTTGCACATTCCTAGGTTTTAAAGCTGCCCTGAGGCTGAGGGTGTAGTCAGTGGTAGAGTGTTTGCCTAGCATGCCTGAACCCCTGGGTTCCAGCCCCAGAACTACAAAAATAAAGTTAAAGTCCTCTGCTTAAACTTCTAATAAGGTAAACATACATAAATATGAATATCTTAATCGACATCTACTTGAGCTTCTCCATCAACTTGAAGTGTGTTTTAAAATATACTTAGTCCTGAGACTAAAAATTTTGGGAACTGCTCATCTAAACCATCCTGTCATCTTGACCTAGCCACAGTGTTCACCAACTGTCACTTACCTCTCTGCACACTGGGCTGAGGATAGGATGGCATCTGACAAGCTCACTTTGCTGTGGAATGGCCCAGGCCTTGTGCGGTTATTTGGTTGGTTGGCAAAGAGAACATTGTAATCCACACATCGAAGAAGGAAGGTTGTGAAGCCGACAATGAAAATGAACTGTCTGTGGAAGGTGTGGGGGTGGGACTGTGATGAGCCCGAGGGCAGGTGGGCTTCTGCCCCGCCCACCACCAGGTGGGCCACACACACACACACACACACACACACACACACACACAGCAGAGCCAGGGCCTGCTGGGGGCAAGCCTGGGCTGGGCTGGGAGCAACAGGCATTATGGAGGAAGCAGAAGATAATGCTTGGGGCCAGAGTCAACTTCTCACCCCAGCTGGAAGACATCCTCCAGCAGGATGCAGGCAAAGCCACTTCGCTGGCGGTAGCTGTAGATGTGGCAGTGGTGTTAAAGACACCTGAGGCACAATGCAATGGGCTCTTCTTGAGGACCCTCCCCTCCCACAACCCTTCCCCACCCAAGGGACCCACTCCCTCCGTGCTTCCTCTGAAGACCAATACAAAGGATATCTTGGTGAAGAAGCTGTCCAGGTTCTGAATGTGGTGCCAGGAGCCTAGGCAGGAAGCACAGCGCATCAGGACTGAGCTCTGACCCCTGAGCAATCAGCTTTCCACACCCTCAACTCATGCCAGAGGCCCACAGGGCTGAGCCATGAAGTTCCTAGTCCCCCCACCTATTCCCTGCCACACACTCACCCCGGAGCCCTTCAGGCACATGAAGTAGGGGCTGCTGCTCCTCCCCTTGGAGGGGTGAGTCTTGGGACCCCTCAGGGTCACAGTCCTCCAGCCGCTCATAATCCTGCTCAGGGATCAGAGGGCCTATCCGCAGCCCAGGAGGGTCCTGGGGGCACCGGCGTGAGGGAGGGGGAGTGACAGAGGCCAGGGGTGGGGTGGAGTGGGATCCCCAGGAGGAGGAAGCAAATACGGGTGTGGATGCAGGTCTTGCCTGTGTTGGGGGGGTAGCTGGGATGGGGAGGGCACTGTGGCCAGGCTGAGAGGCCTCTGTCCCCTGCAGCACTGGGCAGGAGGACCCCAGAGCAGGAGGGAACGGTGAGGAGAAGGAGCTTCTTGTACGAGGGGTAGGGGATAGAGAGAAGAAGGAGACCCTCCCTCCCCCAGGTCCTCGACGCGGAGGAGTAGGGGGCAGCAGGGGCACGGGGAGCAGGGGCACTGAGCCAGGCCCCAGCTCGCCCCAGTGCCCCAGCCGCCCCCTACTCCCCCCCCAGCCCATTCGGCTCACCATCAGGCTGCGGCTTCCCTTCTCCTTAGGTTGGAGGGATGGGGCTGTGGCGCTTCCCACAAAGGTCTGTGGAAGTGAGCAGGGACTTCAACCAGGACAATGACAACAACAGTACCAGGTGACTCAGGATGGGCAGGCCTTGGGCGTCCCAGCTCTCAGTCACCTGTGTGATCACTCACACCCCTTGCAGGGCAACCTGGGGCCAATCCTCTCAGGGCCCAGCCCCCATACCTGGGAGAGGTGCCAACTTAGAAGGCAGGGGCTGGGCATGCACTGGGACAAGAAGACAGTCTCCATCTTCAGACCTTGAAGGGGCTAGAGGTAAAGAAAAGCGAGCCACCAAAACAACAAAGCAATAAAGTGGAATCTCATTAAATGATTGTAGGACTTTGAAGCCAAGATGTCAAATCTTCCTTTTTTCCCCTCAGTGCTGGGGATCAAACCCAGGCACTAACACATGCTGCTAGGCAAGCACTGTACCACTAAGCTATCTCCCCAGGCCAAATCTTCCATTTCTTAAAATCATATCTCCTCCCTCTATGCCCACCTACAGTTATCAATAGGAAAATGCTTTAAGAAAAAAAAAATGGTTTTATTTGCCTGAGGGTACTAAATAAAGGAAGAGGGGAAACAGCCTGAGTTTGCAGCCAGATGGGGGGAAAGCAAGAAGAGGAAGGAAGTGAAGGAAGGGATGGAACGGCAGCTATCTTGGATTTGAAAAGTAGTGTGGGGAGCTTGGAAGTACCATTATGTTTATTCCCTATCCTCTTGAACCTAATGCCCTCTGATTCAAGTACTGATCCAGTTTCTGGGGCCTGAGCAATTTAAGGGCTAAATTGGCTTCAGAAGGCAGCTGGAAGGATAATTTGGGGACCCAGGAAAGAGCTGCCTGAGTGGGGTTCTTGTGGTAACCTCAGCAAGGAAGAGGAGGCCCAGGCAGCTTGTCTGGTGGCTTGCCCAACGCCATTCCTGAGGCCCTGAATCACCAGGTGTCCTACTGAAGCCCATGCCTAGGATGCTGACTCAGCCAGCAGATGCCAGGCCCCCAGGGTCAGGCCCAAGGCCTGAGATAGGGACCAGTATCCATGACATGGAGAGGAACACAGTGGTTCCTAGATTATTTACTGGAGGAGTGTGGAGGTAATCATGGATCTGCCCACAAAGTGAGCCCAGGAGTACCTGTTTTTCTGTGTCTCCTTCTTGGGAGGGGCATTGTTATAGGACTTGGCATAGCTTTATGGCTGAGCAGGAGGCAAAGCTATGAAAACAAGACCTAACTCCTCTATAGGTGGCAAAGTGGAATCCCATATTGTAGGGGGACTAGGAAATTTTCAAAATCTTTCTGTGACACCAGTCAAGATGGGTTATGTGGGGTTTTGGTCTAGTCTGTCCCTCACCTTACTAACATCACTCACTCAGTACCACAGATATTCCATCCTACTTACATCAGGGCCCCTCCCCATACCCCCTGAACTTGTCAGCCCAAGCTCAAACTAATCCGACTGGGTTTTACTCTAAATTCACCCATTGATCTTCCTACCACCATCCTCAATTCAAGTCAGTTGCAGGGTGTGGTGGTGCATGCTTGGAATCCCAGCAACTCAGGAGGCTGAGGCAGGAGGAACACAAGTTCCAGGCCAGCCTCAGCAATGTAGTGAGAACTTGTCTCAAAATTTTAAAAGTAGAGAAAAAAAGAAGGGCTGGGGGTGTAATTCAGTTAAATTCCAGACCACACACAAATAAATAAAGGGGGTGGTAGAGGGCCCCTGGGTTCAATCTCCAATGGTGGGAGATATAAAGTCAATTTATTACAGAGGGCACTTTTTCCTGCCAGGTATTTGGAGGGGAAGGGAACAGAGTGAATGAGTCAGAGCCACTACCCACCAAGAAGTCACACCCCCGGTGGGAGGAGCAAATATGCAAACAAATAATTACAGCTCTGTTAAAACAGAGGTGCAGTGCTGTTCCCAGTGCGATTGGAGCCTCAGCAAGTCGCTCAGACGCGGCTGTTTGGGTCTGATGAACTTCAGGACCTCCATACTAGAAGTTCTCAATAATTGAGAAGGAGTGTCCCAGGGATTGCCACACGTGGGGAAACATTTGCATTTTATTTTTTTATTTTGAGATAGTCATCACTAAGTTGCCAAGGTTGTTCTTGAATTTGCGATCTTCCTGCCTCAGCCTCCGGAGTAACTGGGATTCCAGGCGTGCGCCACCGCATCCGACTCTTGCCTTTCGTTCGTTTTTGTTTTTAACTTCCACGGTCGATTTTTGCTCATTCGCTCCCCGCCCCCAGTCCGCCCCACTCCAGAACCAGCGCTGTACACTCCCTAGAGACCCCAGGACTTCTGGACGGGAGACATCTGGAGATCGTCAGGAACATCCATAGGAAAACCGCCCGAGGTCAGCTGACACGTTACTCTGCACATCACCCAGGTGGGAGGACTGGCCTCCCTACCACACACCCAGCGGACTAGAGCCCGGGGCAAGAGGCAGAGCCCTTTCCCACTCGGCCCCGCCCACGGCTGGAAGGCGGGCTATTAGACGATCCTATCCAATCACAGTTCCAGAAGGAAGAGGGCGGTCATCGTTTGCTCCAATCATAGCTTGCAGTAAAATTGATGTCTCTTTCCACCAGTCARCGCCGAGGCGCGAGGAGGCTGTCGGGATGGGGGCTGGAGCCAACATGGAGACCTCGGTGGGATAAGGGTGAAACTGTTGTTGCCGGCTGCTCCGGTCTTCCTGCCCCAGCATGTTGGTGCACTTATTTCGGGTCGGGATTCGGGGCGGCCCTGTCCCAGGCAGATCGCTACCATCCTTTCGATTCCAGACTTTCTCGGCCGTCAGGTAAAAAGGAACAAAGCTGCTTGGAGCGCGAGCCATTGACAGGCCGGCGGGGCGTGGGGCGCGCCGGGAGATGGAGTCCCCGGGCTCGCGCGGGGCCTGCTGGGAGTTGTAGGCTGTGCGGCCGGGGGTGGAATATCACTCCCCAGGGAGTTGGCCTCAATTATTTATAGCTTCTGTCCCGGCGCCAGCTGGAGCCTCCTCAACGCCTGCGTCGGCTGAACCCAGCCGGCTCCGGGTCAATGGCCACGCCCCTGTCGCACTGCCCACCAGGGGGCGCCACTCCTAGCCCCCGTTCTCCYTTTCCGAATTAATCTGGCAATTTGGACAAAAATAGTTGTTAGAGTCGAGATGTTTCCAAGATTCAGAGTGAGCCAATCGAAAGTGGTTCCTGGAGCTGGAGGCGTTCKGCAGGAATCAGGGGTCTACCTGTAACTCGTTCTTGGTCAAACACTCCACAGGCGTTGGTCCAGAGAGAGGGGTGGGTGGGAAATAAGCAATGATTTGGAAACTACATCCTGCATGTGAATGCTTTGTGAGGAGGCACTGATGCCCTCCATCCTGCAGTGAATAACCTGAGAGTGGAACAGCAAAAAGATCGCCAAGGGCTGCCCGTGGAGCTTTGTCATCTGGAAAGTCCATCTGATTGATGYAGGGAGTGCAAGAGCCCCCGCTAGCTAGCGCTAGAAGTACTGGTGCTGGGAAGCAACCCACCGATTCTTGGCAACTGTGGAGCCCTTCTTAGAGTCTGGAGAAGACGAGAGAAGCTGAAAGTAGCCATGATAAATTATTAAACAATTTGAAAACAGTCTGTGGGAAAGAGTATGGGTGTTGGTATTATCTAAACCAGAAGGAAACCCAAGGAAAGACATCAAAGAATATCCAAGTATATGTGAGTGCTTTAGTCAGTGATTTTCAATAGATCATGAAATGAATTTAGTAATCAGGACCATTTAAAAATGAATATAATATAACAAAATACATATTTAAAAATAACGGAAAGTATTATTTTGTGAAACCTTCCATTTTTGTGTGGCAAACATATATATTTACTGTACTTGGTTGTTTTGRGGCATTGTACTGGATTGCAATGTAAAACGTTGCAGTGGTCAGGCCAGACAGTCCTATATTTCTAATGAGGACATGTGTGTGCACAAAAAACATTTGCTCAATATCTATTATAATTTTTTGCATTTTTGTTTTCCTGTTTCTTCCATCAGCCAATTTGGGAGTGGCGGGAGAGGGGAGCATCTAGCCCTTTCCCTCCATGCATTGTCACACATGGCACTCTAGGCCTAGGAGGCACTCTAGGCCTAGGAGGCACTCTAGGCCTAGGAGGGGAGATAGGTGATGGAGTGCAATAAGCCAGAAGACTTGGGTCCCTTCCTGGTCCTGCTATGCACAGCTTGAGCATGGCACACTTGGCAGAGTAGAATGAGCCTGGATTCTGGAACCAGAACCAGAGTTCCCCTCTTGTCCTAGTGCTGCTGCCTGGGGACATCTCTGCCTCTGCCTTGTGGTGCTGCATTAGACAGACGAGGCCCCTCCTGCCTACTCCATGCCCAGCATTGTGGAGTCCCAATTTTAATTCTCAACTCACATGGATTTTTTTCATCATCAATGAGAGTAAGGGCATCTCCCAGGGAGGCAAGTGGCAAAGGCAGTGGACCCTTGTCAGTGCTGCAGGGGTCATATCTGCCATCCCTACTATGAGCAACACAGTGTCCCCTGCAGAGCAGGAGCTCACCTTGCTGGTAACCTCGGATCCTTACTCATGGAGGATTTCTGGACCTCACCTGCGCCCCCATGTGCTGGTCCTGGGTGCAGCCATCATGGTGAGGCTGTCCCTGCTGTTTCATACTGGGGAGAAAAAGGACCCAGGAAGGGGTTTGCAGAAGCCCTAAGCCAGAAAAGGACTGGAAAAGGAGTGCTGTAAACTAGCTGCCATTATTATGTGCCCTCCAGCCCTGACATGCTGTGATTGGGAAAGGACAGTCCTGGAGACCAGCACAGACCTGGGTTGGTGCCCTTGAAGTCTGAAGGGGCCTTACTGAAGGTGTTGCCTGGGAGACCATGCAGGGGAAGAACACTTTTAGGTCTGACTTATGCTCAGCCATCGCATTCCTTAGCAGTGTCACTGTGTACACTTGTCTCAGGAGCTGAGAACCTAGCATAGTGTTGCACACCTGTGGCTCCTGCTACTTGGGAGCTGAGGCAGGAGGATTGCTTGAGTCCTGGAGTTCCTGGCCATTCAGGACAACATTGTGAGACCTTGTCTGAAAAATAAATCTTTAAAAACAGCCCAGAAGAAGGCAGTGTCAGGAGCTAAAACGAAAAGGAAATTCTGCTTCTAGGAAGCTCAGCCAGAGATCAGGGATTTGTTGGTCAGTTRAAAGATGGATGACTAGGTCCTCAGCCACCAATGACCTTCTGTCCCTGCAGGTCCCCAGATGGCCGCCTCGGTACCTCCCTCCTCAGGGCCGTGTCCCAGCTGCGGTCACAGCTCCGGGCCCACCTCCCTCAAGCCCTACCAACTCTCAGCCGGAGCCCCTCTGCCTGGTGCTGGGGTGGGGGAGCCTTGCTGGGCTCTGCAGTGCTCTACAAGCACTCCCGCCTCTGCCTTGTGGCACTATGTGAGGCAGAAGAGGCCCTGCCCGCCTGCCCCTCACCCCGTGTTGTGGAGTCCCACTTTAACTGGAAGCTCTTCTGGCAGTTTCTGCGCCCCCATGTGCTGATCCTGGGTGCAGCCATCGTGGTGAGGCTTTCCCTGCTGTTTCATACTGGGGAGAAAAAGGACCCAGGAAGGGGTTTGCAGAAGCCCTAAGCCAGAGCAGGGACAGCATTCTTTCATCAGAAGCAGCAAATGTTGCCTTGGGGCCCCAGGGTCTGAGGACATCCAGAAGACCTTGATAGCCTGGTTTGTAGGATYGAGGGATGCAGTGGGGCTGGAAGCCTGGGCTTTAACTCTCAAAGAGGCACTGCTTTGGGAGAGGAAGGGCAGGGSCAGGGCTGGTGAGGGAGAGTGGCCCCTCTCTCTAAGTGTGTGTCTACTCTGCCTTGCCCCCCTCTAGCTGGCACTGGGTGCAGCGCTGGTGAATGTGCAGATCCCCCTGCTCCTGGGCCAGCTGGTAGAGATCGTGGCCAAGTACACAAGGGATCATGTGGGGAGCTTCGTGTCTGAGTCCCGGAAGATAAGCACACAGCTGCTTGTCCTCTACGGCATCCAGGTACTACAGGGGAGGGCCCAGGGCACAGTGAAGCCTTTCTGGGTCCTCCCTAACTGCACTGGCCTCTCTCAYAGGGACTGCTGACCTTCGGGTACCTGGTATTGCTGTCCTATATTGGCGAGCGAATGGCTGTGGACATGCGGAAGGCCCTTTTCAGCTCACTGCTTCGGTACTTTAGACACAGGGTGTGGGCTAGGGTGACTGATATCCCAGGGGAGGATCTGGGGTGAGTCGCATCCTGGACCAACGTCTCTCTCCTTCCCCCCGCCTGCTGCCCCTATGTCCCACCACCAGACAAGACATTGCTTTCTTTGATGCCAAAAAGACTGGGCAGCTGGTGAGCCGACTGACAACTGATGTGCAGGAGTTTAAATCTTCCTTCAAGCTCGTCATCTCCCAGGTCAGTGCTCACCCCATGGTCTGGCCCAGCCCTGACTTCTGACTGATGTTGGGTCCACAGCCAGTGCTCACTACTGTCCAGGAGGGTGTGGGTGAGAGAACACAGAAGTCTATGGCTGGGAGGTGCCGAGGCAGCGCATAGTCAGCATAGGCTGAAATCCTCCCTGTGGGTGGGTGGCGCATGCCTGTAATCCCAGTGACACTGGAGACCGAGGTAGGAGTTCAAGGCCAGCCTCAAGAGTTCAGTGATACCCTAAGCAACTTATTTTGAGACCTTTTCTCTAAATTTAAAAAAGTATAAGTAGAGYTAGGGATGTGGCTCTGTAGAAAAGCCCCTCTGGGTTCAGTTTCCAGTACTAAAAAAAAAATCCTTCCTCCCCTAGAAAGCCTTCCTGAGGACTTGGACCAGACCCTTTCCCCGTAGGAGCAGACTCACATGGCCTGCCCGTCCCCAGGGTGCCAGTCTCTGGCCAGTATCGAGCTCTTGCAGTTGCTATTTACTACACACTGACATCTTCCCATTATCCACCCTTCCATCACTCCGGCCTCTGGGTTATGACCCTGGCCCATGACTGTCAGAGGGACATATCCCCTTGTGATTCTCGTAGTTCGATTTCTGAAACAGGAAGAGAAGCAAACATCTTTCTGGGGGAAAATGCCGTAGTCCATGCCGTTCTGACCCAGCCCTTCCTGCCTGCTGGTTGACCCCAGCTCATCCAGAGGGGTTATGTTTGGTGACTGAGCAGTGCCACGTGGCCTCTGGGGGCCTGGGCCTGGTGAGTGAGCATGAGTCCCATATCCTGCTTCTGCTGCTGGATTGTCCCCCCTTCCTTCTCACAGGGGCTGCGCAGCTGCACCCAGGTGGCTGGCTGCCTGGTGTCCCTGTCCATGCTGTCCACACGCCTCACGTTGTTGCTGATGATTGCCACACCTGCCCTGATGGGCGTTGGCACCCTGATGGGCTCAGGTCTCCGCAAATTGTCTCGCCAGTGTCAGGAGCAGGTACTGGAATCCCCTGGATGTCCCCTTAGCTTCCTCCCATTCTCTGATCTGTTCTGTCACTCCTCCTGTTTCCAACCTGACTCCCTGTGTCCCGGACTCAATGCAGGTTGCCAGAGCAACAGGCGTAGCRGATGAGGCCCTGGGCAACGTGCGGACGGTTCGAGCCTTCGCCATGGAGCCTCGGGAAGAGGAGTGAGTCCTGGGAGGGTGGAGCATAGAACCAGAGCGTCTCCCACGCACACCTACYCCTTCCCACACCCGGCCCAGCTGCATCCTCCCACGCACACCCACCCCTTCCACACCCAGCCCAGCTGCGCCCTAAGTGCCTGACCTGGCCTCTTCCCAGACGCTACAGAGCAGAGCTGGAGAGCTGCCGCTGTAAGGCAGAGGAGCTGGGCACGGGCATTGCTTTGTTCCAAGGGCTTTCCAACATTGCATTCAACTGTGAGTGGGGCCTGCCTGGGGAGGGGACATGGGTTTGTGGCCAGGGGAGGAGCAGAGATAGGTGAGAGCTGCGCGCCCCTGCCATGCTCCTGGGGCATCCATCGAGCGCCTTGGTTTATCAGGCTCTCCAGCTGATGACACTTGTGGGTGACGGGAAGGTGGTGGGTGTGTTATTGCAGGACTGCCCAGAAGGGAGCATGGAGGGGGGCGCCTGCCCTGCTTGTTTGCAGAGGAGGAGATCGAGGCTGAGGCCACTCTGCCTAGATTCCCCCATCAGCTAGTGACTGAGCAGGGCTAGGAGTCAGGACTAATGGGCCAAATTCATTTGTTGTCACTTGCCACTTTCTTCCTCACTGTTTGTCCCCTTCCCATACAGGCATGGTCCTGGGCACCCTGTTTGTTGGGGGCTCCCTTGTGGCTGGACAGCAGCTGACAGGGGGAGACCTCATGTCCTTCCTGGTGGCCTCCCAAACGGTGCAGAGGTGAGTGAGGGCTGTTCCCATCCCTGAGATGCCCCCTGACCCCTCCAGTGCCCTGTCTGGCAAGACTCGAGGTGCCAGCATGCTCTGGGGGACTCTGGTCCAGCCCCAGGCCTGCCAGCTCCCCACCCGTGACTTTGGGCTGATGTCGGGCCCACAACCAAGGCTCAGTGACATCTGGGGGTGTGGACATGGCAAAAGCAAGTTCGTGGAAAGGAGTACAGGCTGGAGGGTCCCAGCCCTCCAGCCGACTCCCTGGCTCCATTCTCGAAGGCTGTTGGTGTCTTCAGCCTTCCAGGCCACTCACAAGCATCCTTGACAGACGTGTGTGTGTGTGTGTGTGTGTGTGTGTGTGTGTGTGTGTGTATGTGTGTATTTAGTTGTAGACGGACACATGCCTTTATTTAATTTATTTTTTTTTTATGTGGTGCCCAGGGTCAAACCCAGGGCCTCACAGGTGCGAGGCAAGTGCTCTGTCGCTAAGCCACAGCCACAGCCACAGCGCCCCCTTGACAGATTTTAAAAATGATTCGTGTGGTGGAATCCACATGAGGTAGATGTCCTTGCCCTTGCCCCATTGAAGTGCAAGCTTGTGCAGCCATCTCCAGAACTTTGTTATCTCACAAAAGTGAGACTGAACCCTTTGAGCGCCACTCTCCTGCCTCCCTCCCCAGCCTGGCACCCTGCTCTCTGACTCTGGCCACTCTGGGAACCTCACAGAAGTGCAGTCATGCAGCTTCCATCCTTTCGTGACTGGCTGCTTGAGCCTAGAGGGTGCGCAAGTTTCCTCACATTCTGTTTTGAAGCTGATTGGTATTCCCTGGTGGCTAGACCATCCTCCACAAGTTTTTTGGTTATTTTTTTTTYCCTTGGTACTAGGAATTGAACCCAGGAGCACTTAAGCACTGAGCCACATTCCCAGCCCTGTTTTGTATTTTATTTATTTAGAGACAGGTTCTCGCTAAGTTGCTTAGGGCCTCACTAAGTTGCTGAAACTGGCCTTGAACTTGAGATCCTCCTGCCTCAGCCTCCTGAGCCATTCCACAAGCTTTTTAAGAGCTGCCCCCACTGTAACCATTCCCTGGGATGAGAAGTGGACCCTCTGCCCCTGCAGATCCCAACTATGTCTTGTCATTTCTCACTGGTCTGAAACTCCCTGCTCCACTTGACCCCTTCTGCCCTGTGAGGCAGCCTGGAGCCCATCAGCCTCCTCAGCCACCAGACAAACCGCAGTCCTGCCAGGCCCTTCCCCCTCCCGGCTCAACATGAGCAGTTCCTACCGCTGCCGCCTTTGCTTTCTCCCACACATGGCCTGCACATAAATACACGTTGTGATAGATAATTAAAGAGTGAGTATGTCCTAATAAATAATTAAAGAGTGAAGACCTGTGTTATCTGCAGCCACATCACCCGAGGTCCCCCGCATTCTCCCTGCATTGGCCCCTGACTCCTTCCAGAGATGGCGCTCCTAATCTGGTGGTGCCCCTCCATGCCTGGAGTCCTCTTTGTCACTGCTCTAGGTCCACAGTTTCCTAGGGAATCCTTCAGCCCTGAGCTGAGTGCCTTGAGGGAAGTGAGGCCAATCCAGAGAAGGGGTAGGGCAGCTCCCATGCTCACCCCAGACAGAACGCCCATTTTGGCCCCAGACGCACATCCCACAAGCACATTCCATCCTCTCCCGCAGCAGCGGGAACCCTGGCCCTGTTTCTGCTCTGTGTCCCCTGAGCCAGCCATGTTCAGACCCTMCGGTGCTGGAGAGCCTCATCCCTCYTTCACTGCTCCCTGGTGGCTTCAGGATCCAAAGATGCTCTGATTGTGGGAGAGGCGGGGCTTGGGGTGTCCCCTCTGGCTCCGTGGTTCCCAGGGCTGGCACCCCGTGCTGATTCACCTGGGGAGGGGACCCATAAGAATCCCACTGGCTCCCTTAAGAAAATCAGCCTGACCCTGCTCCCAAGGCCCCTGCCCCTTCCTAGCCTGAGGAGTCTCCTCATCTCCCCACTGCACTGCCCAGCCGGCCATTCAGCAGGATTGTGTAAGAGCCACAGGACTGCCCAGGGAGACAGTCTGTTTGTCCCAAGGGTCCCTGCCTGCTTCTGAAGAATTGGGTCTTCAGGAAGCTGCTGTTTCCTCCCGAGTCCTGTTGGGCCACCAAGGGCACAGGTGACAGTGCTGGCTCCAGAGGGAGGGAGGAGCAGAGCAGTGTAGTCCCCACCTTGCACCCCATCTGAAGTGTTCTTTTGGGCAGAGATGGGGTGGCGCCCAGACAGACCACAGGACCCACCTGGGCAGAGCACGTGGTCTGCATCCTGCGGCATCCCTGAGCGCAAGGTCATGGCACGCCCATGAGTCATGCGCGTCTTGGATTTCAGTTGCAGTAGCCCCTTTGCCAGGCCCTAATGGCTTCCAGATCTCTGTGGAGCCGTTCTTCCACCTCATCAACAGATAGCTCACTGGGTTGGCTCTTCCCTGCCAAGGCCTCCCCACTCCCTTTGGCAAGGGCTGAGCCTGACAGAGCTGTGCCCTGGAGGGCTTTGGGGCTCCTCCCACCCCCACCCCAGCCCTGGTTGAAGTGAGTCCTGCAGGCCAAGAGTCCTGGGGAGTCAGTCTTTCCCCTTCTTAGGAGGGACCCTGAGTACACAGTGGCACACGCATCGTCACGGGTCGGCCAGGCCGTTCCGGGACCCGTGACTAAGACTTGACTCATCTCCCCCCAGCTCACAGCAGCCAGCCAGCCCTGTGCCCAGCCCTGGCAAGACAAAGGCCACCCACTGTCTAGACAGATAAACACACAGGCCCATCTTCTCCACGTATACCCCRGCAGTGGAAATTTTGCCCACAGTAAAAATTTTGTCAGGGAACTTTGGGGTCTCCCCCGAGGTCCCCTGTGGCCGGTGTATTCTGTTTTCTGTCTCTGTGGATTCTGCTTTTTTTCCACATTTTTTTTAACATAAGTCATTGCCTCCCCAGGAGTCTAATGTTAGATGTGACCTCCCCTCCTGGGCCATATCACCTTGATCTCTGTCAAAGGCATCGTGTCTTCATGGCCAAGGCCACAAGTCATGGGCTCAGCTGGGGCTTCTTCCTCAGACTCCTAGACTCCTAGACTCAGGTCATCCCTCACCTTGAGCTGACTTCACCCCGCAGGCCAGGGCAGCATAGAGACTCCCAGCTGAGACTCTGGGTCTTCATTCCATGTCCTTTGCTCCTGGAGCCTCCCTCCAAGGACTAGGGTAGACTGACAGTTGTCCTCATGCAGCCAAGGAGGGAAGCAAGGCTTGGTGACCTGTGTCACCGGATCCCAGATGTCAGGGACCTCGCTGCACTTGACCTCAAGCCTCCCTGTCCTTCACCTTTCACCAGCTCTTGTCGCCACTTCCTCCAACCTCTCCTCTGTCCGCAGGTCCATGGCCAACCTCTCTGTCCTGTTTGGTCAGGTGAGTGGGCGACACTGGGATATGGACTGAGTCCCATTTGTCACCTGTGGACGGGCAACTAGAGAGGATTCCTGACAACTAGGTCACATCCTGGCTCCATGGCCTGCAGTGGGGGCACCAGAAATGCTGTCCCCAGACCCCAGCACCCAGGGGCATCCTTTCCTGGGAGCCCCTACTCCCTCCTTAACACAAACTCTGGATTCCTCCACAGGTAGTGCGGGGGCTCAGTGCAGGTGCCCGTGTCTTTGAATTCATGACCCTGAGCCCCTGTATCCCACTCTCGGGGGGCTGCTGCATCCCCAAGGAGCATCTCCGTGGCTCCATCACGTTCCAGAACGTCAGCTTCAGGTCAGCGGCGGTGAGCAGGCACAGGGACAGGCCTTTCTGGGCTGAAGACTGGAGGGGAGCCGGGTGGGGTGTTTGGCTGAAGGCCCCTGTGAACGAGGTGCCTCAGGAGGGAGCGGGGCCCCAAGGGACTTGGGAGCTGCTGTGACCAGGGTTCTCTTTGACTCCCCCAGCTACCCCTGCCGCCCTGGCTTTGAGGTACTCAAGGATTTCACCCTGACGCTGCCCCCTGGCAAGATTGTGGCCCTTGTGGGCCAGTCTGGGGGAGGTAAGGGATGCCCCCCACCCTCTGACTTTCTGTGGCAGCCACTTGGAGCAGGGCTGGGAGCAAAAAGAGCAGCAAGACCCCAGCTCTCAGTGGCCCCTTGCCCTGCCCTGGGCCGGGGGAGCTCCCRCTGCCATAAGGGTCCCTCTTTCCTTGGACCTTGGCTTCCTCCYTCACAACCCCAAACTCTCAGGAAAGACTACCGTGGCGTCCCTGCTAGAGCGCTTCTACGACCCCACGGCCGGGGTGGTGATGCTGGATGGACATGACCTGCGCACCCTGGACCCCTCTTGGCTCCGGGGCCAGGTGGTGGGCTTCATCAGCCAGGTATGGGCCAGAGGCTAGTGTGGGCAGCATAGATGGGCTCCCCTCACCAGTCCCTCCTCCCGGGCCTCCCCTTCTCAGTCCTCAAGGTCTTTCCTTCCCCCACTCTCCCTCTGCTGCCCCTTAGGAGGCCTCGACTTCTTCACCATTCCTAGCTGTCCTCTGGATCCAAGGTGTCCCTGCCCTGGCATCTGCAGCTCTGCACTGGTCTCCCAGGGCAGGGACACTTTGCTTCTGTTGACAGCAGTCTAAGCAGGMGGGCATTTTAGGATCCTGCAGCAGAGGGGCTGGGCTTGCTGGGGGCCAGCACCRACCCACTAAGCCCCTTGAGGGGCACTCCTCCTTTGCGGGCTGAGACAAAAAGCAGGCATCCCATGAGGGCCAGCCCCTCAGGAGAGGGCCAAATGCAATACCCTCCTGCTGCCATCACTGCTGGCTGTGCCACCCAGCCCCTTCCCACCTCTACTTCACAGGGTTCACCCACTTCTACTTCCCCTTAATGGGCCACTGTGTTCTCACTTAATTGACCTCTGACTTTGAACTTCTGGCTCACCCTAAGTTACCCCTAAGGGATCTAGTCAAACAGAGTCTCACTGGGTAGGGTGGCACACTCCAGTGAGGCTGAGGCAGGAGGATCTCAAGTTTGAGACCAGCCTCAGCAACTTAGTGAGGCCTTAAACAATTTATCAAGTCCCTGTCTCCAAACAACAAACAAAAGGGCTGGGGATGTGGCTTAGCAGCATAAAGCACTCCTACTGGGGCGGAGTGGGAGACTTCCTGTAGACACTGTCTCTGTGTCCCCACCCCAGGAGCCAGTCCTGTTTGGAACGACCATCATGGAGAACATCCGCTTTGGAAAACTGGAAGCTTCTGATGAGGAGGTATATGCAGCTGCACGGGCAGCCAATGCCCATGAGTTCATCAGCAGCTTCCCCCAGGGCTATGACACCATTGTCGGTGAGTTGGAGGACGCCTGCTGGGGTCTGCAAGGCTCCATGGTGATGAGGCTCTGTGGGGGCTGGGAAGTCTTGACCATGTGGCTCAGGCACAGCAGACCATGTGGGCTGCAGAGACAGGCAGGGCTCCGGAGGGCCAGAGCACCGGACAGGGAGTGAGAGACAGGACTCTGGCCATGCAAGTGATTCACAGAGCCTACCACATTCCAAGCCCAGAGGGTGGGGGGCTCTTGCCTCATAACTGTTTTCCCCTCCTCTGGCTCCTGTTTCGTTCTTCTTTTCTTACTGTTTAAAAGTGTCCCCTCTGCCAGGTGTAGTAGTACAYGCCTGTAATGCCAGTAGCTCGGGAGGCAGAGGCAGGATGATTGTGAGTTCAAAGCCAACCTCAGTAAAAGTGAGGCACTAAGCAGCTCAGTGAGACCCTGTCTCTAAATAAAATACAAAATGGGGCTGGGGATGTGGCTCAGTGGAGGAGTGCCCCTGAGTTCAGTCTCCCATGCCGAGTTTCTGTTCGCAACTAAAAGGCTTAGTGGTCACTCCAGGTAAACTGGGCTAACTGGGCTGCGCAAAATAACCACACAAGAGACACAAATACGGAACTGGAATTGTGGCTCAGCGACAGAGCGCTCACCTAGCATGGGCGGGGCCCGGGTTTGATCCTAAGCACCACATAAAAATAAAGGCATTGTGTTGTGTCCATCTACACCTAAAAAATAAATATTGTTTTTAAAAAAGAGACACAAATACCTTTTTCTTTAGAGTCGCTGTGACAGCTCCTCTAACCTTAAGGGTCTGCAGGAAGAGAGAGAGAGAGAGCACTCGCTGACCCCTTTTATTGCGCTGACCCCTTTTATTGAGGGAAGCTATTCAAATGAGGCAAGGGGTCAGGTTTCAGGGGGCTGAGTATCTTCATGATGTCCACTGTCAGCAGGTTGACTGACACCTGGGTAGGCCACACCCAAGGGCACAGTAATGTTGTAGGGACAAACGAGGCAAGGCACCGAAGATAGCAGGAAACAGTTTTATTKGGCTGCAGCCAGGTTCAGAKGGTACAGCCTTTGCTGTAATCAATCAATCCCCTGAACCCCGAGTTCAGGGAGTTTCAGAGTTTTATACCCAGCGTGTAAGGGGAGGGGCTCAGAAGTTCACAATCTGCAGAAGTTCACATAAAAGCAGCTTTTTCTTTCRCTGTTCTGGGCARGTTAACTCTTCAAGGACAACACCTGAGAAGGGGAGAGCTTCTTCTCCCCTTTCTTTCCTCCCCCTGCCAGCTGTTACCATGGGCCCATTTGTAACTTAAAAATGTAGACATCTCTGTGAAGCCCAGCTTAAGGCCAGAGGCCTTATTTGCACATTTCTTCAAAATACTATACTGGATACGTTTGTGAAAAACTAGTCAGGGGGTGCCCAGTACCTGGAGTGCTGGTATCTTCTCGTCCAGTGGCCAAGTAAACAGGGTGACATGAAAATAGGAAGTTTATCTACATTGGACTCTTTTGCAGAGACTCTTTTGCTGACAGTCCTAAAATCAGCCATGGTGAAACAGGCTTTTCTGTGAAGAAAGGGGGTGCCACTTCAGTAAGAGAAGGGGACACACACAAGGCACTTCCATGGAAGATTCTATCCTAAACAGGGCAAGGGGTTATATTACAAAGGAACAGGTGAGCGTAGCTCCACCCATGGGGCTGTAGGGAAGACAAGCCCAGGCAAGAAGACAGTCACTCAAACCCTAGAAGAGCAGGGCAGTCTAGCAGCATGGGTGCCTGATGCCACATGGCCCAGCAGGGGAGTTAACTCAAGTTATGTGTGGGTTGGTCTCCCACACTCCCCTACCCTCCCCCCCAAAAAAGAAGCATCTATCAACATAACAGTTGGTGTCTTGTGCAGGTCTTTCTTCTGACTTCCCAGGAGAGGGCTCTGGTGGTTCAGGGGACATGCAGCAGCACAATAGCATGTTCACTGGTGGCTTGCAGCTTTAGGTGTTCACCCCAGAGATCTTCTCCTTTCCATCTCTGGGGCTCTGTTTACCGCCCCACATGCTAGATCTGCTGCAGAATGTATCAGCACCTCTCGGAATGGGAAAACTGGACCCTTGGCTCTTTAGTTTGAGCAAGCATCAGCCCCTGGGCTGAGACCTTTCTTTAGCCACCTGTCGAATTCCACCTTGCTAATCTAGCTGTGTCCACATGACTRGGCTCCGCACTGCCCTGAGTGGGGGCCGCTGGCGTCTCTCCCTGGGTGGTCGCACTGCCCTGAGTGGAGGGGCCCCGGCATCTCTCCCTGGGTGGTGCTCTCCCATGCCTCTGAACCTGGCATGCTCCCTGCTCATGTGGGCTTCTCAGAGCTGCCCCCTTACTGACTCAAGATCCTGCCGTCACCTCACGGTTCCTTTTGGCTCACCAGCTGCCACTTCTGCTCTCTTCTGTGGCCTTCAAATGCCGCCATGCCTGGAGTCTCCATGGATCCTAGCAGGTCCCCACAGCAGTGGAGTCCCTGAGGCCAGGATGACAGCTCGAGCTATAGCATCGGGGCAGGGCCACCTGCCTGGCCCAGAGGCCTTGCGTGCTAGGAGGCTCCTGTGCTGACTGCTCGTGTTGGTGTGCACATGTGTACACTGCTTTCTTTGCACAGGGATATGGGACCAGGGAGCTGACAGATGACACCCCACCCTTGGAGAGGCAGGACGAGCATTACCGTGTCAGGGACACTCTGGGGAGGGACCAGAGAGACTAGGGGGAAGTTTAGGAAGGACCCAGTGCCTCTCTGCCTGACACTCCCAAGTGTGGAGCCGAGGATCACTTCAGGCCTTCACCTTATCCTTTTCCTATGCAGGCGAGCGGGGCACAACCTTGTCTGGTGGCCAGAAGCAGCGTGTGGCCATTGCCCGTGCCCTCATCAAGCAGCCCACAGTGCTGATCCTGGATGAGGCCACCAGTGCGCTGGATGCTGAATCTGAACGGGTGGTGCAGGAGGCCCTGGACCGAGCCAGCACTGGCCGCACTGTGCTGGTCATTGCCCACCGGCTCAGCACTGTCCGTGCAGCCCACTGCATCATTGTCATGGCCAATGGCCAGGTCTGGGAGGTCAGTGTGGGCCTGGGGAGTTGAGCAGTGGGTTAGGGTGGCTCTAGCCATGGATGATGGAACAGGCAGCATAGAGAAGYAACTCCTCTGGCCCAGCCCCATGTCCTGGAATCAGAATCCCAACACATGCAGGTGTTCCTACCCTTGCACAAGCCCTGGCCTCTTGAGGCCTTGGTTTCTTTCTCTGTCCCCTGGCATAGAGGCTCATTAGAGGCTCCCAGGATTAAAGGGAAAAGTAGATCTGTTGGAGGTAGGTGTGGGGCCCAGGGCAGGGTTGGCCACCCAAGGGCTGAGAGCAGAGGCTACACCAGGGACTCTGATGGGACCATTAGGAGCAGATCCTCAGAGAGCTTGTGGGCTTGGCTCATAGACTCAGTGCAGGGGAGGGGGCTAACAGGAAGAGTCAACGTTCTTCCGTAGTCCTTTGGAGGAGGGATGGGCACTAACAGCTGTGCCCTCAGCAATGGCAGTTCGTTTCAGGTTGGACTGTGTTTTCCAAGTGTCCCCAGAAGATCACTGGCTTAAGTGACCAGGAGCCCAATGACWGATAAAGGCCAGCCCTCCCAGGACTCTGAATGTGATGCTGTTGAGTGACCCTCAGGCCCTTCTTCCCCTCTTCCAGGCTGGGACCCACGAAGAGCTCCTGAAGAAGGGTGGCCTCTATGCAGAGCTCATCCGGAGGCAGGCCCTGGACACCCCACCAACATCAGGCTCACCTCGGGAGAAGCCCAGACGCCCCAGGAACCACTAGCACAAGTCCTAAGAATGGCCCTCTGAGGTCTGGTTGCTGCCCAGCATCAGGGACAGCTCAGCTGGGGGAGCTGTCCAGGGACTGGGCCCCTGGAGGGCCAGCATACTAGGTGTGGCTGTGACTGTTGCCTCTCCACTCACAATAAAGCCAGGCCCACCAGCTGGGCTGGGGGTGGTATCTCTCCCACTCACTCTCACCCCTGCTGCCTGCCAGAGCACAGAATCTTTGGGCTGCACATGGTGAGGCAGAATCCCCAAAGCCTTTCTGCTCTGTCCTCTCTCTGCTCCAGCTCTACCCAACAGCCTGAAGTTGTCTGGACCCCTAGCTCCAGGAAATTTTGAAAATTCAGAGTCCAAGAGTAGGCATGGGAATCCAGACCTGAGCTCTTCCCCATTCCTGCTAGGATCTCACTTCGTAAACTGGGGACTGACTCTCCCACTGGAAAGTCCCTGCTGCCTCTCCGACCCTGAGAGGAAGAGCCTCCCCTTGGTCCATCCTCCACATATCCTCTCTTCCAGCCCTCTCCTCCATTACCACAGTCTTAATATCTGGATTTTACCCACCACCTCCAAGGGGACAGATGCTTAACAGGGCCCACATGGGTTGGGGTAAGAGGGGTGGGACACTATTACTGTCCCTGCCCTGTGTGACTTGAGTCTTTAACCTGGTGAGACTGCGAGCCAGCCTCCTGCTTGAAGGAGACAGGGGCCTGCAGCACACCCAGCATGCTCAGTGGGCCCGTGGTGCCCACGGGGAGCAGTTGGTGCAAAGCCATGGGGAGGCTCATGGAGGACGTGGCTTGGGGCCTCACCTTGAAAGGGGATGGACAAGCTGACAGCCCTAGTGACATGCTTATGGCCCCAAAGCTGTGAATGAGAGTTCTGGGTCCCAGCTGGCTTCTAGGGGTCCAAGAAAGGCACTGTGAAAGGCTCTTGGACTGCAGTGGTGCCCAGAACCAAAAGCAGTCAGGACCTTATGTCCTTATGATGCTGCAGATGTACCAGTCCTCCTCATCTACTCCCAGGGCTGGTGGCCTCCTGCCTTGATGCTGCCCTTGTCTCTTCCCACTAAGGGTCTTCCTTTGTCTAGCCATATCCAGACTGGGACTCCAGAGTCCCACTCTCTGAGGCATAGGGAGAGTGGGTGCCTGTGCCACCCTTCAGAACCAGCCAAGCATTTTGCATTTTTCCTGCAGCAAAGAAGTATTTCCATGTTTCAGGGGGCAGGAGCAGTGGTGTACAAATGAGGTAAAAGAGGCAGCAGTGGCTTAGGTGTGAGTGCAGGAGCCAGGTTGGGACTTGAAGCATCTGTGGGCATGGTTTAGGACCAGATACCACTATGGGGCAAGCCATCCAAAAGCCCCAGGGCCCCAACATCCTTGTTTGGTATCCTGCTTCCTGACTGATCAGAGGTTGCAGTCCAGGGAGCAGAGTTTAGTGCTGGCTCCAGGTTGCTTGGCCACTAAACTAGAGCCTGGGCAGGGACTCGGCATCCTAGCTGGTCCCTTCTGCTCTGCCCAACCCTAGGCCTGGTTGTTGCCTGATGCCTTCCTCACAGGGCAGGAAGCTAGGCAGCTCCTGTTTCCCATCCCACCTCCAGGCCCAGGCTACCCAGCTTCAAGATGGCTCTTCCGGAATTGCCCTCCTCCCACCACCTGGAGAAGTTAGAGAAACCCCATGGCCAGGCAGATGAGCTGGCATCTGCACTCACTGGCCTGTAAGCTCACCTTGACCTTGCTGTGCCAGCTACTCTGCAGAGATACAGTCTGGCTATGCTTGGTCTTGAAAAGTCTTTTCCAAGGGATAAATGGGATGATCTACAGTGAAGTACTTAAAAACACGGTGCAATAGCCTGGGAAAGTGTTCACATCTGTGCTACAAGCCATCATATCCACTCATCCCTTCCAAAGTATTATACCTCTCTCACGTGCCACTCAGTCCGAGATGGCCCCTGCCCCCCGAAGCCTATGAGCCTTTGCAGCATGGTGCAGCCATATTTGGCTGGTGGAAATATGTGCTTCCTACTCAGCTGGAAGTCTGAATAAATAAATCTTGTGGCCTACAATGCCTTTTGGACAAAAATGGAATTTATTAGAAATAAATTGCAGTAAATTAATGGAGGTAAGCCTGTGTTCTCAGATCCACAGGGAGGAGTTGAGCAGTTTCCCAATCAAGGGTAGATGAGCATTTCACTAGCACAGAGCTTGACACTGACAAGGACCCCTGTGTGGATGCTCCCAGACCTACCCCTGCAGCTCCAAGCTGGGCCACAACGTTTCTGCTTGACCTGACCCCTTGCCYGCTGCAGGCCAGCTAGCACAGTCCTTGTGGACATCAGCTCTGAGTGTCTCTGCGCCAACTGCTGGGAGGCCCCCTGCCCGCCTCTTCTACTCTTCTTTCTAGATAGTGAGAAGAACCATTTCTGGTCAGATCAGGTGCTAGCTCTGCCCTCTCAAGGGCATACACAGCTGGTTCATGGGCATAGAGTCCTTTTCTTTAGAAGAGTCCCATGCTGAACAGCCATGTGCGCTCCCTCCTCTGATACTGGTGGGACTGCAAAATGGCATAATTGCCATGGGGGAATTGGGTGACATCCACCAAATTACTAACACAGTGGCCTTTTGACCCAGTGTTTCTATTTCCAGGAGTTTACATCTGTGCAATGGCATGGCCAGCAACACTGATGGGAAGACTGGAAACCCCCTATGGGCATCAGTAGGGGAGTGGTTAAATAAACAACACKATTCAATCAATGGGATTACTGGCATATGGCCACTTCTAAAGATGGGGTTTTCCAGGTGCTAGGTAKCACATGGTCTCTAGGACATGGTCAGTAAAGAGAGACATGAAGTAATAGGGTAGCAGGTAAGCCCACAATCACTGGTAGAAGCCAGCCTCACCAATAGGAGGGCCTGAGTATAGGGAGGTAGGATCTGATATACAGAAAAAAAGAGTCCCTGAATGTGGCCCTAAAGAGCACCCTGGCCATCCAGTGTAGGCTGGGATGCTGACAGCAAGGAAAGAGATCTGCCAATGTCAAACTTCCCACTASTTTCTAGTTTGGTCAACAGCCAAGTCCACTCTGAAGGAACAAATGACCCCAGGTAGGATAGTAGGAAGGCAGGAGAGGCAAAATGAGGGAGGGGCTGGACTAGGGGCCAAAGACAAACCCTCAGATCTGATGTGCAGAGGCCGCATCTAGAGACCCAGAGGGTCCTACTGGCACTTCCAGTTCCAACTTATTTCTGGGCTCCCTTCAAGCTCTAACCAGGGCTGCTGCGGTTTCCTCCTGGCGCCTCTGGTCTCTGACAGCAACAGCACCCCCCCAGTGCTGCGCTAATGGCTCAGCCTGGGGCCCCAGGGACCTTCCCCGCCCCCCAGACTGCTCTGCTGGCCCCCTTGCCCCCCTCACTGTTGAAACCCAATCCTCTGCAGCAATGCCAGCTCAGCACCATCTCAACACTGCTCTGCAGCCCCTGCCTGCCTCTGTTGCCTGCGCCCTACCTGGACTTTGCTGCAGAGCCCCCAGTCCAGCGCTGAGCCCAGGGGAGCCGCCACCTGTTTCTGGGGAAGGTTTCTGGACCAGAAGGTCACCTCACCCATCCAGCAGGCCAGTGCCTTCCTGCCTTTGGTTTTGTTCCTCTCCCTCCTCTCCTTGCCACCTTCTCCTACCCTCTCCTCACCTGAACTCCTGGATCCCTGAATCCTATCTCCATCCCTGCCAGTCCTCCAACCCACCCTCTCCCACTTGTTCTAAGCCCCTGGGTCACCAGCCCCAGGGACCTCTCCACGCGCCTCCTGGGTTCCAGCCATGAAGCCCCCCTCAGGGTTAGAAGAGGCCCACCGGCCAGCCTCAGACATCCGTGTGTTCGCCAGCAGCTGCACGCTGCATGGACTTGGCCATGTCTTTGGCCCTGGTGGCCTGACCCTTCGCCGGGGGCTGTGGGCCACAGCCGTGCTCCTGTCGCTGGCAGCCTTCCTCTACCAGGTAGCTGAACGGGTGCGCTACTATGGGGAGTTCCACCATGAGACGACCCTGGACGAGTGTGAAAGCCACCGGCTCACCTTCCCAGCTGTCACTCTGTGCAACATCAACCCACTGCGCCGCTCACGCCTTACACCCAACGACCTGCACTGGGCTGGGCCCTCACTGCTGGGTCTGGACCCTGCTGAGCACACCGCCTTCCTGCGCTCCCTGGGCCGGCCCCCTGCACCACCCGGCTTCATGCCCAGTCCCACCTTTGACATGGAGCAGCTGTATGCCCGAGCTGGCCACTCCATTGAGGACATGCTGCTGGATTGCCGCTACCGAGGCCAGCCATGTGGGCCAGAGAATTTCACTGTGGTGAGCTACCCACTCTATCCAGAGACCCACGTTCCCCAGAATTGCCAGCCAGGCTCTCCTGAAGTCAGAGAACTTTAGCAGGCATCCTGGCATCCCTTCCTTCTTGGGAGCCATGTCATTCTGTTCAGCCCAGGAAGGGGCCCTCCTTGGGGCCCCCTTCTCATCTCCCAATCGTCATGCACACCTAAGGGCTGACCTATAGAGACCCTACTATTGGAGAAGGGAACTCTCCAGTGGACAATTCTATTCTAGGCAGAAAAGCCCTCTCTGCCAGGAGAAGGGGACTTGGACTTGCTTTCCTCTGTCTCTTCAAAGTTTTGCCAGGATGGCAACTGGTCCACTTCTTTTTCCCTGTAGGCTGTGCCCTGGGCGTTGGTGGGAGTTGAGGGCTGGAGGAGTTGCAGTGATAGATGGGTGTCTGAGAGGGCTCACCCATATGTATCTGCATTGGGGGGTCAAGGGCATCAAGAGGTGGGCTTCAGGGTTCAAAAGAGAGACCCAGAGTATGAGGAGGGGAGAGTCCTAGGCCCATGTGCTTGTCTGGGGGGAGGGCTGCCACCCTGTCTGCAYCCCCAGATCTTCACCCGGATGGGGCAGTGCTACACATTCAACTCGGGTGCCAATGGGGCAGAGCTGCTCACCACCCCCAAGGGTGGTGCCGGCAATGGGCTGGAGATCATGCTGGATGTGCAACAAGAGGAGTATCTGCCAGTGTGGAAAGACATGGGTAAGGGTCACACACACACAGTGGGRTCTGCCAATCACATGGGTATGGAGCACATGCATTAGGACAGGTAACTGAAATGGGGTACAAAAGCCTAGGGGATCTTGGTGTGGTGGCACACACCTGTAATTCCAGCTACTCAGGAGCTTGAGGCAGGAGGATGGCAAGTTTTGAGGCCAGCCTGCACAATTTAGCAAGGCTCAAAAACAAAAGCAATAAAAAGAGGTGGGGTGGATCTTAGTGGTACAGTACTTAYGTGGCACGGGCTCTATCCCCAGTACTGGAACAAAGGGAAAAAGGCCAGGGAAAGGAGAGGAGGGTAGAGGTGTCAAGACATGATTGCTGAGGCACTTCCATCCCTTATGCAAAGAGGGGCAGAACAGTTCTTCCCAGAACTGGGGAGGATGGGCTGCAGTCTCTGTCCTCAAAGACCCCTCCCTGTAGAGGAGACCCCATTTGAGGCAGGGATCAGAGTGCAGATCCACAGCCAGGAGGAACCCCCCATCATCGACCAGCTGGGCTTCGGGGCTGCCCCCGGCTATCAGACTTTTGTGTCCTGCCAAAAGCAGCAAGTATCCTCACCTGTGCCTCCCTCAAGGCTGCCAGCCCCTCCTTAGTCCTGCACCACCTCAACCCTTACAGGCAGTTCCTCAGCTTGTCCCAGGGGCTGAGCTCCAGTGACTTCTTGCATTCTCCCATAAGTCTCCTTAACCCMGTCCCCTCACAGCTGAGCTTCCTGCCACCGCCTTGGGGGGACTGTAGTTCCGTATCTCTGGACCCCGACTTTGAGCCGGAGCTCTCGGATCCCCTGTCCCCCAGTCCCAGCCCCAGCCCCAACCCTCCCTACAGCTTAATGGGGTGTCGCCTGGTCTGCGAGACC